TAACTATGACCACAGGATTAAAACTCTAATAACACAGGCCAACAAGGAAAAAATTCCAGAGATCAGACACTGTGTTTCCGAAGGCATTTGGCGCGCTGAATCCGAATCTGGCCTCAGAATTGATCCATCACCCTAGGTTTCCGAGATATTCTAACCTAAAAGTGCAAAAAACACGTATTTTTGCTATTTTCAAGGTTATGTAACTTGGCGAAAAAAATTTTTTTTCTCAAAACTGAAAATATCATTGGAAACTACTATCTTTCCCCTTCAAAACGCATTTTTTTATTTGTAAAAAGCTTTATTTTTCGCGGAGATATCGTCGATTAAAGATGATCAGTATAGCTACCTTATTAAACCATGGCTCGACCTATAACACAATTAATGGGTATTATGGGTTATTGGGTAATAGGGCTTGAAGTTAACCTTCCTGACGATTAGGGCTCACAGCGCTTAGTGTTGTGGGGTTATAGGGCTTGGGATTAACCTTCCAGACATATAGGGCTTGGGGTTAACCTTCCTGACGATTAGGGCTCGCAGCGCTTAGTGTTATTGGGTTATAGGGCTTGAAGTTAACCTTCCTGACGATGAGGGCGCTCGCTCCGCTTAGTGTTGTGGGGTTATAGGGCTTGGGGTTAACGTTCCTAACAATTAGGGCTAGCAGCGCTCAGTGTTATGGGGTTAGCCATGATGTAATAATATAGCCATACTGGTTATCTTAAATTGACGATATCTCCGCGAAAAATAGAGCTTTTTCCAAATAAAAAAATGCGTTTTGAAGGGGAAAGATAGTCGTTTCCAATGATGTTTTCAGTTTTAAGAAAAAAATTTTTTTCGCCAAGTTACATAACCTTGAATATAGCAAAAGTACGTGTTTTTTGCACTTTTAGGTTAGAATATCTCGGAAACCTAGGGTGATGGATCAATTCTGAGGCCAGATTCGGATTCAGCGCGCCAAATGCCTTCGGAAGCGTAGTGTCTGATCTCTGGAATTTTTTTTTTTGAAATTTTGTCGGCCTGTGTAATGTTTTATTGTAAGGTGTGATAGTAATAGTTTAAATAACTAGGTGGATTTCACAGGGTCTAACGACACATAGTGTACGATAATTCAAGAAACAAAGAAATCTAAATAAAAAATTTAGATAAAATTGGAAGGAATACACTGAAGATAAATTTTTCAAGACAAAACGTCTGAATCTGGTTCGAGTTGAGGCAATACAGTATTGGCGGTCATGAAGGCTTGCAAAAAATGTAGTAAAATTTCCAGGGTCGTATTTAAAAAAATGAAGTTGATGATGGTCCTGGAGAGACGAAAGTTACATATAAAAATTGATTATGCCATTTGATAGAGGGCAAACAGTGGCCATGAGAAAGTGCTCTTCTCTTTTCAATATCACCTCAGACAAGGCTGAAATTAAACAAAAACGGATTTCCAAAATTTCGTTTTTTTTCAAATATTTCGAAAACTAATCATATTAGCCTTGATTTTTTAGAGGCATACTGTTGGTCCCCTGATTACGCAACTTCGTCCCCATTTAAGCTATTTCGTATTTCTTACCGTTTCTGAGATCTTTGCGAGAAGCGAATTTATAACAGCCTGCATGCATTCGAGAAAATGGCGAAGTCGCCAGTGCTACATGTATAAGAAAGAAGTAATTAAAATTAAGGTTTTCTGAAGCTATTAACTATCCAACCAACTGGTAATTAAAGTGAAACCAATCAGAAAGTCCTCGTAGTATGAACATTCCCAGAGAATAACGTTCTGAAATGGATATGTACTTAGTAAGAGATGAAAATGTAGAAAAGGTATTTCATCTCAAGTTGAAAATGTTATTCTTTTCTATTCAATTTAATTCGAAGTGAACTATAATTTGACAAAAAATTATGTTAGTTTTTTCCATGTAGAAACATATGATTTTTATTCAAAATTGTCGGATCACAAATAAGACAATATTTGTCAAATAAAAATTATTTTAATTTTTTATTTCAATATTTTTAGGCTCTATGTTCCATTAAAAACAAGTACGAATATAATAATATATAATTTATCTGATTAGAAAGTCAGTGATAATTTAGTATTTATTTTTAGTGGTAGTATTTAGTAGTATTTAATATAGAAAATCATCTTTTCTTTTTGGTCACTTAAAAATTAATAACATTTTTAACTTAGGAGTGAAAAAAATTAACTTTTTTCAAAAAAGCTTTAATATTCCTAACTTTCTCACATATCAGTAGAAAAAATATCTACAATTTATTGAAAAATATAAGAACACATAAATTCATAAGAGTTCATAAATTCTAAAATATAAGAACACAACGCTGTATTAAAATATATAAAATTTCAAATTGTGTTCAATAAAAATAAATTATACCAACTCATAATAACGAGAAACCCACTTTTCAGTGTCTATTTTAATATCCTGACATACATTTCACCACCATTTTCAATAAAACCTCCTATTTAAATAACCGTTTTATATCCCATTTATACGCTTCATTAAATTTTCATCAATATGAATCTGCTTGTGAAACCATTTATCTTTTTCCGACACATAAATGTAATAAAAATCATTCTCCGGTATCAATAGCCGACAGTCACTTGTTCAGAATGATCACTAAAAATACTTTATGGCATAGCGATTCAATATTACGGCAGTACATCCCGCTAAATTTGAATAAAAGAATTAATTCGATTTTCGAAACTGTAGAGAAAAAATGAAAAATTGAGAATTCGATAAATGTGTAGTTTGTATCGATTTTTTTACTAAAAAATAAAATAAAATTATTAAAGTTACGTATATATTATTCATATAAATTAATATTAACAGATAACCAGACCTGACGCAATCCTAGAAAAAGGGAATTATAAAAATACCCTGAAATTTAAAATTTATGCCTTAGGAGCTTGGAGAATAAGATTATAGAATCCCCTTTGTCTGAAAAATCTATATTTTTTACCGAACAATTTTTTATTTGCTTTTAAAAGGTGGCCACAGAAAATATTAACCGGCAATTTAACGTAATAAAAAAGTAAATTTATATCTTTTAATAAATGTGTACACTTGAAAGGAGGCAAACCTTTCTGTTGTGATTAATCGTAGAAAAAAGCCATCAATACGACTGTAGACAAAGCCACCCACGACGATAGTTCTGCATGATGAGTGCCTTGGAGAGGACATGGAAAAGTCCTGTTCCACCAGTGGTTGAGTAGAATAAGATTATATAACGGTAACAATTTCCAAAAGGACATATTCTTCTGTTTAAATCTTCGTTGTTTTGATAATTATCTCTAGAGCAATTTATGAAAACCTAATAATTCTATTTAGTATAATTTAAAAGAAACTGCATTTCTTTAAGTCGACTAAAGTATTATTTTCTTGAAATCGTAAAAATTTCGTTACGCAGAATACTATACAGTGCACAATAGAAAAGATTCTTATAAATAATAGTACCCCAAAACCCTTAATTTTTGATTTCGATATATAAAGATGTTCAAAATTAATAAAAATATATAAGGAGTAACTTTAAATGAGGACCATGCTTATACAGACACTAACTTTGACATTTAGAAATGCATAAGTTTATTTTGTCAAAAACAAAGACCTTATCGTAAACTAATAAATCTGAAACTAAAATAAATGTAATAAAATGAAACGGAGACATATTTGGTTAATACTTTTTCGCCGAATTAATGTTGTTTTTTGCTCGCCTAGCGCCCTGTTGTCATATCACATATATTTTGTTACTACTATAGTGATAGAATAATAAAGTAACTGCTCATCTTAGTGTATTTCGTGAGGGTCTTCGTTTTTCTGAATATCTAGCAGCAAATTCTCTACATGTTATTGACATTACTTAGTCACATTATCCATAAATAACAAGCAAATTAAAATAATTCTCATTTGTACAATTTAAACGATTCCCAGGCATTTTTATGTAAATTTTCAGCAAAAACTATTACAGACATAACAATAATTTGACAACTAACTTGACAAATGTCATGATATTTCAATTGTTTTTAAAGTGTTTCTGGTCATGGCCAATTTGACAGCAGGTCTGATACGAGAAAAACTGTCCAAATATAGAAAATTGCAAACAGCTCTAAAAGTAGTAACGGCAACCCTAACAATGCTTATATGGCTTGAAAGGAAATTTCAATCTGCATATGACAGAGTAAAAAAATACAAGGTGTTCCATTTAAGTTCACAAAGTTATAGCTGTTTGAAATTATCAAAATGTAACGGCAAAAATGAAACACCTAGTATTAAATGTTTTAATTTGTTGGTATACCATAATGTAGTGTTGCCTTTTACAGGTACCAAAAATCCGCTTGATATCACGCTCTTGAAAAGAGTTACTAGTATCTTCGCGGACACTTGCAAATGTCAAATTTTTTCTTTAAAATTTAAGATCTCGAAATCTATAACTCCTAGGTATAGGGAATATTTAATAAAGTAACCCTCAAATTTCACGTAGAATCCGAAAATGCAAAAATATATAGGATGTCCCATTTAAAATAACAAGGTTAATGTACCAGAAGTATGATAAAGTTCTAAACATTTTAGCTGTGTTGGTCCTACTGCCTTTGCTAGGTTGCCATATTTTCGGATTTATAAGATCAGTACCTTCCGAGATATCGATAGTGGCGATTTCTGGTGGGACACCCTGTATATTATTCAAATATCTTATCTTCCGAAAAAAATTGTGGTTTTTCTCAACTATCCTGCGAAATAAAATTATGTTTTACAGACAAATTATTTTATTTAATATTTTATAAATTCTTTAATTTCTTTGTTCTACATAATCTGAGATAAGCAGCAAGACGGTGTTATAGAAAGGTACCGTTGGTGGAAACGGGCAACCACTTGTTCAGGAAACTAAGAAAACAGTTCAGGGGAGGACAGGGTGCTCCCCAACCCTTCGAAGATGCGCAACACCCACACGCTAGTGCCCTTACTATAAAACGTAGAATTTGGGACGGTTCAATTTAGTTCTGAGTTGCCACACAAACCACTATATTGTTATTTTCGCGCTATTCACCCAGTTCGTTTGTTTCGTAGCTGTAGACGAATTATAAATTTATTGTAAGTAATGAAAATACGCTTTTTAAGTAATTATATACTTGTTTACGCCAGTATAGTTACGCATTTCTTTAATTTTAATGTAAATTTAGTTTTAAAAATTTAGGCGAGGCCTTTTTGCAAAATAACCGGAAAATAAGAAATTAAACAAGAAAAGAAAAATTGATTGCATAAAATTCTAACAGTTTTCGAGCTTAAAATAATAAGTGAAGTCGTAGAATATACGGAAAATCCATTTTTGTTGCAAAAATACGAAATTTGTATTTGAAAAACTGATGTTGAAAGTAACTCCAGCTTGATAAAACGTTGTGTTCTAAATGTTGTACTGAATGGTTGTAAAAATATTACTTCGATTATTTTCCATTGAAATTTTGTATAATATATTATTTTATTTAAGTGTGAATGTTAGTATTTTTACCTTCGAGGTGTTATGAAAGATTTTAATTTTTGGCGGAGTCGCCGGTGGAAATTGTAAGCTTCCCGTATGTGATTGTGTTAAATGTTGCTGAATTATAAGAATTATATTTTTTTACGGTCAAAACTAATGTCAATATACCTAGCTACTTAAAACTTTTGTTGATGAGTACAATCACAACAAATTTTATATGTAGTTTCCCATGTTTCAAATTCAAAAATTCAAAATTGAAAATATTTATTTTGTTATTAAAAAAAAATGTAACAACCAACATATTACACAACAACAAAGAAAACAAATACCTAAAAAGCTAATTTGTCCCATTTTGTAGTTTTTTCTGATACATTAAAAATAAAAAGATTTTTGTATATACGAGTATTGTACATATACAGGGTGAGTCATTAATAATGGTACACAGCTTACTGGCAGATTGTTAAAAATATAGCGATTGAGCTAAACATGCCTTAATCAATTGTTGCTTATTTTCGTTCTACAAGGTGTTAAAGTTGAAAAAATATTTTCTTTTTTTTATCTATATTTTAAGTATGTATGGACCGATTGTTTTGAAAATTTGTAGTTTTACGTTTTTCGATTTTTCGAAAATTGTATAAGTTTGACTTCTATCTCCAAAATACATTCAATTGTTTTTCTAGGTACAGACTTGAAGTCATATGAAAATTTCCTAAAACTTTGGCAGCAACAAATGAAAATTTGACGTTTTTTTTAATTAAATTTATGTTCTCGTCCGCACGCAGATCTTTACCCCGAGGAATGTTACGGAAAATGTTAACGTTCTCGATTTATTTTCAGTAAATCCGATATGTTTTCAAGGAGTTTCGTCATCAGCGCCCTCTTCGTCATCCTCAGCGCCATCCTCCTGGATTCCCAAGCGGAAGCTCGCTATCTACCCACCAGGGCTAATGGAGAAAGGGTGGACAAGCTCCGCGAACTCTTGAAAGAAGTGAGTAAGATATACAGGGTGAGTCGCATAACATTGTCGTCCTTTTATTTCCAAGAAATACCTGCTTTCGAAAATTACGTACAGCGTAATGTTGGTGCGAACATGAGAGAAATCAAAGAAAAAGCGTTAAAAATAAAAGCACAGTGCTTTTCTAAGTATTCGAAGGCAATATCCTTTTGTTATGAACAGCAGAAGAAGAAGAGTTGTATTAATGCCTGGAAAAACATACATAAAAAAATTCAGCTTATGATTTGTCAATAGGACGATATTACTATGGACCGTTCTTGGCACTGTCAACTTAGTAACATAATAAGATATGACAGAACTACCAACGTAAATCTAATGAAATTCCTAATTTTGAAATTTCCAGTAAAAACGTCATCGTTCCCCATTCTAATATTATTTTGAGGATTGTCGATGAAATATAATAAACAGAAAAAGTAATTACACCAAATGTGAAGTATTTTTTGTACATATAACGTTTTATATACAGGGTCTTCTGTAACTCTGCAACTGTAAAATTTATGAAACAAATGGTCTTAAAATAAAAGTTGTCTGGAATCATGTGGGCAATGTAAAGAAAATATTTTTACTTTACAGGGTGTTCCCTTTCGAGTGGGCGCTACATAACTTTGTTATTTTAAATGGAACACCCTGTATATTATTGCATTTTTTAATTCCTTGGTTAATATTAGTTTATTAAATGTATACGGTGTTTAATACTTACCGTTTTCGAGATAATCAGTTGTTTTCGAAAAAAATCACGATTTCAGCTATCATTTTTTCAACTGGAATGACCCATATTAATTGTCATGGGTGAATACAAAATTGAATGCCCTTTCGACTGGTATCAGGTTGTCCATACTTATCTTTAACAGTTTTCCAGAAAAATCAAATTCTTTTCTAAAACAAGTTTATACAGGATGTTAATGATAAGTTTTGCCAAACTTTAATGGCGTAAGTATTTTACCGATGAAAGTAATCAACTTTTGCCCTATAAAAATTTTGGATAAGACGCTTCCCTACGGAGATACAGGGTGTTAAAAGTTTCAAATATTTATATTATTGATAAAAAATGATAAAATTTGGGAGATGAAATTTTTTTGGTAGAGACTATTTTTTCATGGATAACGCTTAGTTATTGGGAGAGAGGGGAACCTTTTTTGAAAAAAATCATACGCCACTGCTTTTTTAAATAATTTTGTGGCAATAAAGTATTCTTGTGAAGTATTCATACAATTTACTGGCTTTTAGGTAATTGGGAAATCAAATAAGAAGATACTTAAGTACTTACGTAGCTATTTATAACTTTCTATTAATTGCTAAATGTGTAACAATAAATTCAATACAATATTGTTGAGAGATTTCAAAACACTATACAACGCGTTTTGTGTGTTGCAAAAAGCTTTCTTTTATGACAGTGAAGTTACAGGAAAAATAATATAAATATTTGAAACTTTTAACACCCTGTATCTCCGTAGGGAAGCGTCCTATCCAAAATTTATATAGGGCAAAACTTGATTATTTTCATCGGTAGGATACGCCATTAAAGTTTAGCAAAACTTATCATTAACACCCTGTATAAAAGTGCCATTACTTTTACTCTGTGGATTCCCCAACTTTTGTGGCTAAAATTTGGTGTACCTATCCTGTAGAATATTTCTACTGTCGAAACAAACTACTAAGTATACTTTTTTAAATGATGCTAACACATATTTTTCATTTTTCATGAACAAATTCTTTCTACTGATGTAGTAACTAATAGATAAAGGAAATAAAACTCAGAGCAAAAAAAATTAAAAGTGTTAAAAATAAATGGGGCCCCAAATTGTACATATTATTACTCAACTAATTTCGACTACATTTTCTTCTTCTTGAGCAAGAATTATAATTATAGACAATATAAATCATGTGATGTGTAAATTATAACTATAGGCATTGGTAACAAAACAACCAAAAAAATAAAAAATATATTTAAATATCATTGGAAATAAATAGGAAGATGATCTTATGTGACATTCAGGTAGTGATAGATCTCATTTCATCATTCTCAAATCATTGCATTCTCGTGGCCAATATCCCTACGATATTTGTTGAGACACAATTCCAAGAAGACCCCTGCGTCGCTTTCTTGGAATTAACTGCAAAACGACTGTTCTGCAAACAGAATAACAGTTACTTAATTCAAATACACTTAGATTAAACATCTGGGTACTATTGAATTTATCGTATCTTCACTGATGATGACTGAAGAGTACGAAACTTCGATCCGCACAGTGAACCGACATTCCCGAACAGCATGCTTTGACTGCGAGTGCTTTACTTCAATATTTCCTTACGCGTGCTATTTTTTTAGTTGTTAGAAAGCGAGATCGAGAAGGAAGAGATGGGGGACGTCCCAAGATGGCACCCAGAGAGCAAACTCTTCTACAAGAGGGAAGCCCCAGAGGTCCAGACCCAGCCACTCCCCCAACAATAAAACAATTGACGACCTGAGCAAAGAACACGGACAATACGATTTTCGGAGAAATGTAAATAAGAATTAAATATAACAAATTTTAAATAATATTTTGATTAATGTGAACAATTTAATAATATGTATATTGACAAGTTGAGAGCACGAATATGATTCCAAAAACTAAAAAAAAATGTAGCACGTTAGATAAACAATGTGCAGAGTGGTTTTTGATTTTGGCAAACGTATATATGATAAATGTATTTTTTGAAAATAAAATTAAATTATATATCTATATTAAAATTTAAAGTATATATTTTCTAATATAAAATAGCATTTATTTAGAGTATTAGAGCAAATATTATAGGTATAAGGATAGACAAAGGCGGTTGATGCAATTTAATAACTATAGTAATATGTGTCTTAAATCAGTAAAAGCAAAAATCTCTCTGTACATTGTTTAATACAAAAAGAGGCATTATTTTACATTTTCCTAGGGCTTAGAGGTATTGTTTTTTTTTCATATTGTACATTTATATCACATTTTATTTAACTTTAATGTAAGTAAAATATAAATCAGTATTAAATTGATGTTAGCTAGAAAATAGTGCCTATAGTTATATATGGTGAAAACAAGCATACTTTTCCATAATTTAAGAATTTCTCTCAGCAAAATTAATAAAACCATTTTTAATATTTTAGCACATATTTTCGTATATTTAGTTAACGTAAGTATAATTGCACTTAAATTATGGAAAAATACGGCATGTTACCTTCTTTATAGAAGTAGTATTAGAAAAATATATAAATAATATATTGTACCCGTCCTTAAAAAAGATCTTCTCAATTTGTCATTATATGGGGTTAGGTCAATACGACGGTTTCAATTTTTAAAAGCAATATTTTGAAAAACGTTTTAATACAATAATAATAAATGTGATTTACAATGAATGTGTCTTATAATAACAAAAAATGTGCATGGGAATAAAAACTATTCAAATTAATAGTTAAAATATGTTTTATTATCATTATTCATTACCAAACCGTCAAATCTATGATTCTTTAACACGTTGACTGCGACATAATCTCAATGTACTTTGTCCGTGAATGCGATACATATCTTTGGGAATATGTAACAAAACTTCTTCTGTGTGCAGTACATATCCCTGGGAATATGTATTTTTTTTTACATTTGACCTCTATAAAATTAAAAGTAACACAATTATTGCTATAAACTTGCATGTATCTGTAACTATACAGGGTGTCTCATAATTAGCTGCCAATTCTGAACAGGCCGATTCTATGATCAAAACTAAGTAAAAAAGTCCATATGAATATGGGTCCGGAAATGCTTCCTAAGGGCACAGGGACCCATTGAAGAGGGAGGAATGGAAATCATTTTTTTGCAATATCTCTCAATCGCGTTGTGATAAATGAATGAAATTTGGTATACACAGCTAAATTTTGATGAGCAATTTGATGGACTAATCCATTTATTTCCACAAGGTCCATTGGGGTGGGTACGGGGGGGCCCTTGGTACTTTGCGTGTGTAACTTTTTCATCTTTGACTTTTTAACAAATTGGACAGCAAATTCCGTTTTCCCGAACTGTTTTACGTTAAAAAGGTACTCTTGTTTCAAATCGTTATCTTTAACGGTTTCTGAGAAAATCGCTCTTGAATTAATCCCACTTTGGTCAATTTCATAGTAATTTAAACAAAAAATAATAATAATAATTTAATACGTAATCAGTAATACACATTATTGATGTAGAACAATTATGATATGATGATTTGTTTATGGCTTTTGCGATGGTAATGCTGCGCGGCAGAACGCGAGTACGGCAGAAGGTTTCCAAACAGAAGGCTGACATCAAGGAGGACATTCCTCACTGTATTCCGCAATTTAGCTGCAACCGTCACTTTTCGAAGGGATCATAAGATGGAAACTTAATTTTGATAACAGACAACAAGCTATTTTAAAAACTGTTCAAAAAACCCTCCACCTTCTCTGATACAAAGTCTTGCCCTACGTGTAACACTTCTCGAAGCTATTAAGATGCTAAAACGGTTTTGACGAATTTCATTGGCTGCATCATTGATACGCTGCAGCAATTCCTCACGGGTATCGACTTCGGTGGCGTAAACTTTTTGATTTAGATATCCCCAGAAAAAGAAGTCCAGCGGGGTTAGGTCGGGAGAACGCGGCGGCCAAGCTACCGGTCCGTGCCTCCCTATCCACCGTCCAGCGAAATTTTCGTTTAGGAAATTTAGAACATTGCGACCACTATGTGCCGGGGCTCCATCGTGTTGAAAAAACATGTTACGTCGTAAATTTAGAGGCAGATCATCGAGAATTTGGGGAAGATTTTCTTGAAGTAAGTTTAAATAAAGATTTGAATTGAGACGTTGTGGAATTTCAATAGGTCCAATCAGAGTGTCGTGAATTATTCCCGCCCATAAATTTATGGAAAACCGTTGCTGGAAGTTTGTTCTCCGAACAACATGTGGGTTCTCTTCTTCCCAATAATGAGAATTATGAAAATTTAATTTTCCATTTCGGGTAAAAGTAGCTTCGTCACACCACAAAATTTTGGAAGCTTGCTCGTTGTCCAGCGACAAAATCCAGCGACAAAATTGCATACGTGGCGCAAAATCTTCTGGTATCAAGCCATGTACACGTCGATAGTGATAGGCATGTAGACCTTGTCGCTTTAATATTCTTCCAACCTGAAATGTTAGTAGCACATCTAATCAATTCTGTTAAGGAAATCTTTAAGATATGTAGTACCGTTGGCCGAGGAACATTTATTTGCCTTGAAATGTTCCGTATGCTAGTCGTAGGATCTTGTTCAATAGCGTCAAGGACCTCCGCTTCCCTATTAATCCTGGGACGTCCTTGACCCGGTGCCTTTCGAAAAGTGGCGGTTGCAGCTAAGTTGCGGAATACCGTAGGGAATGTCCTCCTTGATGGCAGCCTTCGGTTTGGAAACCTTCTCCCGTACTCGCGTTCTGCCGCTGCAGCATTACCATCGCAAAAGCCATAAATAAATATCATATCAACTAACTCTTGTCCCGTAAACTCTTCCATTTTTTTCGCTTAGAACTATTAAATTGGCAATCGGGTTGACAATACTTTGACATAAGAATACCTTGATAATTTTGTTTAAATTACTATGAAATTGACCAAAGTGGGATTAATTCAAGAGCGATTTTCTCAGAAACCGTTAAAGATAACGATTTGAAACAAGAGTACCTTTTTAACGTAAAACAGTTCGGGAAAACGGAATTTGCTGTCCAATTTGTTAAAAAGTCAAAGATGAAAAAGTTACACACGCAAAGTACCAAGGGCCCCCCCGTACCCACCCCAATGGACCTTGTGGAAATAAATGGATTAGTCCATCAAATTGCTCATCAAAATTTAGCTGTGTATACCAAATTTCATTCATTTATCACAACGCGATTGAGAGATATTGCAAAAAAATGATTTCCATTCCTCCCTCTTCAATGGGTCCCTGTGCCCTTAGGAAGCATTTCCGGACCCATGTTCATATGAACTTTTTTACTTAGTTTTGATCATAGAATCGGCCTGTTCAGGGTTGGCAGCTAATTATGAGACACCCTGTATATCCTAGGATACTAATGTTTTCATTCGCAGTTTTGAAAAGAAAAAAATAGAAAAATCATTATTTCTAACTACAAAACTAAAAACTACAGATTCTGCAACTTTCACAAGATACAGTAAAAATGTGATTATTGAGATTCGCATATTTTTTATAATGAGTACATTCCCCCCGAGGTATGTACCGCAGTCAACGTGTTAAGTTTTTCTAAGACGATTTATCAGAAACTTTCTAAAACTTAGAAAACGAATACACGCATATACAGGGTGTTCCTTGGAAAGGGCGATGAAGGGCACGAAAATGAGTAACTTTTATTAAGCAACTACGAGTCGAAAAACTTTTAATTTTCAAATGGAATGACCCATATTAATTGTATGGGTGAATGCAAAATTGAATGCCCTTTCGATTGATAGAAGGTTATCCATACTTATCTAATAACAGTTTTCCAGAAAAATCAGGTACTCTAAAGTCCGAAAAAGTAGCTATGTAACAGCGTCAAGAAGGCCTTACAAAACCACTTTTCTCTCACATTTTATCAGGCCTGAGACTGAGAGTATCAATATTTACTGGCATGTGGTTTGATAAACAACAATAAATCACTAACACCAACTCAAACAAAACGCAAAACGAAACAAATTGAAACTCGTAACACAACAAGGAGAAGAATACTTATATCGCTGATTTACATCAATTGCCCGAAGTGTCCTCCATTTTGATTATTACACAAACGAATTCGGTTTTTAAAAGACTGTTCAATATTAGTCAACATGTCTTGCGTAATTTTTTAAAATGCTACTGTAATGCGATGCCACATATCTTCAGCGGTAGCTGGTGGTGTAACGTAAACTTTGCTTTTTATAAATCCCCATAAAAAGAAGTCGCAACTTGTCATATTTGGACACCTTGCAGGCCAACTCACTGGTCCCCCGCGCCCAATTCATCTGTTGGGAAAAGTTTCATGTAAAAACTGACGAACACTGAGGTGGAGCACCATCATGTTGCATCTACATTCTTCGAAGTGTGGCTAAAGGAATGTCGCCTAACCAATCTTCTACAGTGTTTGTTAAAAGGTTTAAATAAACAGGTTNCGCGCCCAATTCATCTGTTGGGAAAAGTTTCATGTAAAAACTGACGAACACTGAGGTGGAGCACCATCATGTTGCATCTACATTCTTCGAAGTGTGGCTAAAGGAATGTCGCCTAACCAATCTTCTACAGTGTTTGTTAAAAGGTTTAAATAAACAGGTTAAAAAAGAATGATCTAATGACATGGGTTCCCTAAATTGCTCCTCACATGCACACGTTCAAAGATCATCGTTGGCTATGAGTTGTCCAAAATTGTTGAGGATTTACTGTCTCATAATAATGGCAATTATGACTATTAACGAAACCATTTTTATGAAAAGTAGCCTCATCGGAGAACATGACCCGTCTAAAAAAGTCATCATCTTGATTTAACATCTCAAGTACTCACTGACAAAACTCCAGTCTCCGCTGAAAGTCTACTTTTAGTAACTCTTGGTGTAATTGGATGCGATAAGGATGTACTGTGCTGTGCTTTTGTAAAATCCTGTGTATTCATGTTGTACTAATACAATTGCATGGCCTCCTTGACGCTGTTACATAACTACTTTTTCAGACTTTAGAAAAGAACCTGATTTTTCTGGAAAACTGTTAGAGATAAGTGTATGGACAACCTTACTTCATAGGCCAGAAAAAAGAGCTGGGAAATGAGCATTTCGCGACTTTTTGTTTCGGCAAGCTGAATTTATCACTATATATGCTAAATATTATGTACAATAACATATTAGTTTCCACAGTCATAAAAATGGAGGGAAGATTGTTTACAGGGTGGTCAATTGTATAATTTTTACGTAAATTCACGTTTTTCGCTTATAACTTTTTTCCGTTCATTCCCACGAGAAAACAGTAAAGTACTTTTTTTAAAAATATTGATTAGATCAAAAGTTATAAATAGAAGAAATTTATTTATGACTTTTGAATAAAACATTTATAAACTGCGTTATTATTACCAGAACGTTTTGGCATCGCACCCTCTCATTCCTTATCAGTCTAATAACAGGAAATCTGGAATCGGTAAGTTGAATAGTTTACGAGTTATGGCTTTATAAACAAATTAACTAATTATTAGTCTGGACGATCCCGAGCATCTTCCACAATAGCACTGTTTTTTTTTCATGGTAGACTTCATAATAGTGCATTGAAATCTATCATTATTTTTTTTAATTTCAAATTTGCAACCTGGAATTTTTTTTTTAGCTTTAGCCAAAATGAAATATACCACGCACGCGCGTGATATAGTTATATATTATTACATATTCGGAAAGCTTGT